GTCCTTCTGACCACCGCCAGATGCAGCCTCCGGCCCTCCTTGCTTGAAGCAGCTGAAGCGCTTTTGTTCCTCTGCACCGGGGGCCAATGCACTGTACCTCCGAACGTGGATTATAGGGCATGATGAAACTGAGATTCAGCAAGAAATTGACTGAGGTATGGATTTGCCGATGAAGAACCTGATGTAGCCAGGAACTGGTAATATATGGGAATGCATGATCAAAGAGACCCATATGATGCCGGCGCTGCTCCGGCTAGGTTTCTTGTATGCTCGGCTTCTATGTACCTACCTACTACCTTACCTTAGGTAGGAGTCTGATGTTGATGTCTACCTCTACCTACCTACCTCAGTTATGTAAGGCAGCTTCCGAATTACTGGCACTGACGAAGATGTTTCTTGAGATGGACTTGGGTGATGGGCAAATGCAATGCTTGATAACCAGACTGGTTAATAACAGTCGCTGGTCCATGTGGCGTCCAATCCCATCTTGCCCGCTCCATTTCTCCAGGTGCGAGTCCTTGTAAGTGCTAGGCAAATTACAGAAAGACGGAGCTATAATTTTTTCGTTCTTACAGCGGTTCCATCCACGAGGTGCTAGGTAACTACTAAACAAGTACCTGGCCCTCGGAATAACCCTTCAGGTACATGCGCCTTCATAATATGCATCGCACTTTGTAAAGTACTCGGCAGTACTGTTTGTCACTCACTCACTGCATCTGGGGGGATTTCCCCCCTCTTATTAAATTAATTTGGGACAGATCGTTTGAACTCTTCACTGCTTAACAAGTTAGCCTTGTTTAATAATTCCCTTCTTACCTACCTACCTGACTGACCCTGCCTAGGCCTAGGCCGTTGAAGAGGAGGCTACCTTAGGTACTCAAAACCCTCACTCACTCACTATTTCTTCTTGCCTTCTGTCGTCTTCAAAATTCCCGCTTCCCTTTTTTCCCACCATTACTTCTTTTCACCTTTCACTGCTCTTCTCTACCCTTCATCTCCGTCTTGTCCTTGCTCCTGTCCTGCCTCATCTAGCAGTCACGACAAAGATTGCTCGCTGCTCTCATCTTTTGTCGTTGGTACAGCTGCACGGGCTTCAGAGCCCATCAACGCCTGTAGGCGTTTGTTCTATAGTGAACGCTGCCACTGGGGAGGGCTACAGTTTCTTGTGTTCAGCTTTCAGTGCACGAGGCGCTGGGCTGTTGAATTCGAAATTACCTCTCTCGTCTCGTCATCGTGACACAGGTTTCCTACAGGTTGCTCCGTACGAGCTCCAGTTCAGTACCTTACCTTACCTTACCTTACCTTTCTTCGCGACGAATAGTGGTCCCTACCTAGGTAGAAGCCGACATCCTTCCGTGACCTGCACCCGCCTTGTCTTGGCGTTCGGCATCATCATCAGCCAAGAAAGACTTCACTTGCGGCTTTGAGCACCACCTCGGAGTGTCCTCTGTTTTCCCCTTTTTTCCTGCTGTCTTCTTGCTACTCTGCTCAGCTTGATAGCTCTACCTCGGAATAAGCTCTTTGTTGGTATTGTTCGGGACCTTCAATCAATTACATCGGTCCTACCAACAACAGAGCGGAACAGAACAGAGACCCGCCACTCTTGGTACGGGCTTTTTAGCCACTATCAACACCTCCAGTCCGATACCTACGCTGCGGTACCTACATACTGTACACTTCAGTCCAATACGTTTTTGCCGCTCATCTTTTGCTTCGCCTCATTCACTCCCCGCCAAGATCGATGACCCAAAGACAACTCAGATATCCCTCACTGTCCTGTTTTTGATCACTCGTCGATCTTGTTGTGCGCTGCGCTGCGCCATTTGACCAGAAACTAAAATCTCGCGCTTCTGCGTTCGGCACTTCTGTTGTTACCTGGCTTCCTGCTGTACGCTGGCTTCGGTTGCCTGCCAACTGAACCGTTGTTTCTAGACTTGTTCGTTGCGCAACAGACCCTTACTCGAGTCGTGCTCACTGACGCCTGTTTCTGGTGTCGCACCAGGTCGTCGCATATTCTTCCGTCACTTTATTCTCTCGATTCTTCGCCTCAACTACCCTCACCAACACCCGAGACAGAGACAGAGACAGAGACAGTGACTCTTGTCTCGTATTCACTTCCAAAAATGCCCACTGCATCTGGTTCCTCAAAACCGCCCTCCGCATCGAGCTCGAAACCATCCTCGGTTAAATCTCAAGATGGCGTCAAGAAGTCCCCTGGGCTAGCACCACAGAATGGTGCAACTACTGATAATGGACATCCTCCCTTAGACACGCATCTCAAGCCAACAGCCTCAGTAAAGAACCGCCTCACCCGCATGTTCTCATCCAAGGATACATCAAGAGTTCCGACCCCCGCCCCTTCGACTGTCGATTTACCTAATCGCCCACGGGCTTCTTCCACAAACGGCACCTCTACACCCGCTGCAAAGGCTTCGTCTACCGAGAAGGGTAGCGATAAGGTTTCGTTCAAAACGACTGACAAGGCCACGATACCAGCCAAACCCGCTACGAAATCGACCAGTGGCAAGGAACCCTCTCAACGATTTGTTCTAAATCCGGAAGCACAAGGTGGCCATGAGCATCATTTAAAATCTAGTCGACGTCAGGAAAAGCTCTCGGATATGTGGAGAGCGATCATCGGCAAGAAGCAGGACGCAGCCGCTGAGCACGATCTATCGCTCGTTTCAAATTGGGTGGATACACTACAGCAAGAAAAAGAAGAAGCTGGCGATAGAAAAGGTGGGCCCAGCGCAACGACAACCCTGGTCGAGAAATACGGCAAATGCCAGGAGGTGGTCGGCCGTGGTGCTTTTGGCATTGTTCGAATCTCTCACAAGAAGATTGGTGGCAGCAATGAAAAGCTCTTTGCTGTCAAGGAGTTCCGACGCCGACCAGAAGAGACAGAGAAGAAGTATAGCAAGCGACTCACAGCCGAATTCTGCATATCGTCCTCGCTTCGACATCCCAACGTTATTCACACACTCGATTTGCTTAAGGATGCCAAGGGCGACTACTGCGAAGTCATGGAATTTTGCGCTGGAGGAGATTTGTACACACTCGTTCTCTCGAGTGGAAAGCTCGAGGTACAAGAAGCCGACTGTTTCTTCAAGCAGATGATGCGAGGCGTCGAATATCTTCATGAAATGGGAGTAGCGCACCGTGATTTGAAGCCAGAAAACTTGCTCCTGACGACCCGTGGCGCCCTCAAAATTACTGATTTTGGCAACGGAGAGTGTTTCCGAATGGCTTGGGAGACAGACGCGCATATGGTATCTGGCCTATGCGGTTCTGCTCCCTATATTGCCCCCGAGGAATACACGGATAAGGAGTTTGACGCCAGAGCTGTAGATGTGTGGGCTTGTGGTGTCATCTTTATGGCAATGAGAACAGGACGACACCTTTGGCGACTGGCCAAGAAGGACGATGATGAGTTCTACGCCCGTTATTTGGAGGGTCGCCGTGATGAGGAGGGCTACGGCCCCATCGAATCTCTTCATCGGGTAAGTTCATTCAATGTGATAAGGGCCCAAGGTACTGTGCAACCGTGCTAACTCTGTACAAGGCGCGATGCCGCAATGTTATCTACTCAGTTCTCGACCCCCACCCGACTCGACGCTTGACGGCCGCTCAGGTCCTTAAGTCGGAATGGGTACGTGAGATCAAGCTATGCAAGGCTGGTGAAGAGGGTCTATGAAGAAGATGATGGTCAATTTGGCGACCTCTGAATTCGAGCGATTCGAACTCGATGAGTAATCGACTTGAGCAGGGCGTATGGTTAACGGACCAACTACGAAAGGGACTTCTAGAAGGATGGCCAATATCGAGAGGGCGGAAATAGCGGGTTGGCGTTGATGGCTGCGTTTGGCGAAGCAAGCCACGTCAAGCCACTATGATGATTCGACGACCCATCGTTTGGACTATTTCTTTTGTTATTTTAATCGAGCAACGGTGTTGGGCGCATTGCAAACAGAAACATCGTCGTTTTTTAATCATTTTCAAGCGTATCATGTCCTGGCAGGGTGGCGGTTGCTTGCATTTATGACACAGGGCGGCAGGGCTTGCTTATAACCCAGTCATGTCAATGGAATAGGGAGGCCCAGTCTATTTACCCACCAAGACAATTTTTATATTACAGGAGGCTGCGTTTTCAAGACAGAGCGCGCCATGGTAAGGGTAAGGCAGGGCAGGGCAGGGCAGGGCAGGGCGGTGCAAGGTAAACACGAATGGATATGAATCATGGGAAGAAAGAGACCTTTGGTAGGCCAAGAGGTCCTAAGCTGAGCAGACAGGAAGTACAGTTCAGTTCCAAAGACATGTGGTTTTGGATTTATCTCTGTCCCCAGAGTTCAAGAAGAAAAGAGGCGTCGGTGGTATGTACTCCTGTCGTAGAGACCCAAGAAACATGAAGCAAAGCAGAATAGACAAGACGTTGTTCTCATGTCAGCACAAAGATGCCAAGAGCACATATCCAAGATTGTTCTTCTCTCTGGGCTCAGGCTCAATTACTGGTGTCATAGATGGTAGTCCCTATGACTTGATTGTGGTGAGAGTGGCAGGTTTCCGCCTCTCAAAGCATCCTCCGATTCCAGCACAGTCCTGATCATCGGCACAAGTAGCCGGTGACATGATTCGCCATGAACTGCCCATTCAGACATGCCTTTTCTGACTACACCTGCAAGTGGTGATAATCGTGAATCGGATAGTCTATCCGGTGTAATTCCCGGGTCGCGTTCGCGACGCTTTGCACGATACTTCACGTATTGTCAGGACCTCATATGGGGCTCCCGAGTTCGTCGCTCTTGCTCGGTCGGCTTATAAAGACTGGGCGGAGCTGGAGAGGCGGTCGGGAATGAAGATGCTGACTATCACGGGAGGTGTCGTCTTTCTCCCACACAAGGGACCGACGCCATCGAGTGACTTTGCTATTAGTCTCGATGCCAACGGCGTCCCCTGTGAGCTTCTGACGCCCAAGGAGACCAACAAAAGATGGCCTGGGTTCAATGTTCCTCAGGGAGTTGACACCGTCTTCACCCCTGCCTGATTCGGGCATTGTTCACGCCGCAAAGGCTGTCATGACGCTCCAGTTCCGGGCTCGCTTCAACGGCGCCGTTCTCATGGAGAACACACGCGTCGAGGCTGTGATGCCCCATCCCGGCGGAGGCGTGACGATTGAAACGTCTCAAGGCGTCTATCACGCTCGCAAGGTCATCATTGCTGCTGATGCATGGACGAACAAGCTCCTCAAGCCACTCGGCATTGAGCTGCCCATCACCGTCATGCGGGAGCAGGTAACCTACTTCAAGCCCTCTCGCGAGCACGAAGCACAGTTTGCAAACGACAAGTTCCCCGTTCGGATCTGGGGAGGTGAGAAGTGGTTCTATGGCTTTCCCCTCTATGGCTTACCCGCTCTCAAGGCTGGCCAAGACGCTGGAAGAAACGACATGGATTCCGAAGACCGTACATGGCAAAGAGCTCAACCGATTTCTGGATAGGCTTATTCCCAAGCAAGGCGATGAGCTGAGAACCGTCACCTGCCAATACACAATCACCCCGGATCGACAGTTTATCATCAGCGAGTTAGAGAGAAGCACAAGGGTGTTATTCTCGCTCTCGGTAATGCACATGCCTTCAAGTTTGCTCCCGCTGTCGGTCGACTTACTGCTGAGCTTGCATTGGATGGGAAGACAACTGATGACATCTCTAAGTTTGGGTTTCCCAACACAACACCCAGCAAACTGTAGTCAGTCCTTGATGCGCCGGATATAACCAAGGAGAATGAATAGAAGAACAGGGCTCCTTTGTAGAGGTTCCAAGTCTGTCTATTCAGTATACGTATTACGTACATGTTGTATATTCGGACCACTCCTGACATATAGGAACATCAGTGTTTTTTGTAACCAGATTACCTGTGTTTCGAGGAATCGGTTGTTGATGTCACAAAGGAAACTACAGAGACCTGCGAGCCAAGTATTGCCTTAACAGTTATGTCAATCCTGATTGAAACATCATCCTATTTCCAAACCCGTCCCGTACACCACGCGAGGTCTACAAAAACCGTCGCCAATAATAGATTCAGGCAAATCCGGGCCAATTCCTGGCCAAAAACGACATAAGTATGCAAGAAGAAGAAGAAAAACATAAACCAAACCCCCTTCATCTTGCTCATATCCGGGATCTGGCAGCCCACCAGACCAAGCCGTTTCCAACAACCAAATAGAAGACGAGAATAAATAAATAAAATAGAGAGCCACAGCCGGATATCTGCCTTATCCCCGTCCCGATGTTGCGATTACTGAACAAAAAAAAAAAAAAAAAAAAAAAAAAAAAAAAAAAACGTAGAGCCCATGATCAACAACCACTACAGCCAAGTCAATCGACAAGTGGATGGTGCTTCAAATCGAGGAGTAGATTATTGGTGTAAGATTGTTGCCTCTGAACATTCGGAATATTGACGCACAGTATTCATAGCGTCGTCAAGATGAAAAACATTATGTCCACCCAGTGAACCTCCAGTTCCGCTAACCGCCGTATCATCCAACCTTTTAAAGCCGATCTGGACGCATGCCACACACAGTAAGATGGTTGAAGTGATGAACAGAAATAACGCCTGGATTATTAGGCTAAGAATACGGCCAAAGCGAGCTAGCCGTTGTAGTAAAGATTATTGTTGATTGGTGGTCTTTTGAGGTCTTACGAGTGGAATAGATCCCACGCGCGTTCGCATAATCGGATAAACTCTTCCTTCTTGGCTCGCTGAGTTTCCGGGCTATCTCGTCCAGCACCAAAAGGCCCACGACGAGTGGGAGCAGGTCCATGGCCCAGTGGTGGACTGCCGTCCTCATATTCAGCCCTCGTCCTTCGCCTGCTGGTGCTAGCGCTTCGTGAAGCATCCACAGGTCGACTGCCGGGAGCTGGGGAAGGGGGTGTCGGGGGCTGGTGTCCACCATAGTGAACAAGCTTAGGCAGGAGTTCCGGCCGTCCACCAGCAAGCTCCTGCTGCGCTTCCTCAGCGGATCTGTACTCACGACCTCGTCCAGGTGTAGGGGCCTGGGGAGGTGGAGGGTGGCCAGGGGACGTCATCGGTCCACGAGAGCTGGGGCCACTGGGGTAGAGAGACTGAGGCTGAGGAGCATTGTCGGGATGCGCTGACAGGCCTTGGCCAAAAACATCGCTGATAGGCGGTAATCGGTTGGCCGTTTGGGTAGCAGGAATGTGGTGGATATGAGAAGTACTCGAAAGGTTGGATGGCTGGTTGGTGATGTGACGGGTCATGGGAGCAGGGTGTTGACGTCCTGTAAAGCTGTGGCCCAGAGGCGCAGACTGGATAACTCTCTCGTTGGCAAATTGCTCATGAGAGGGCGCAACGATGGAGAGGCCAGGGGCCTTATTTCTTCTCGACATGCCGGGCGTCTTGGCGGCGAACTGTGACAGAGGATCTTTGTCGGGACCGTCCCCCTTAGCAGACTGCTGGTGAAGTCTAGCTTCGATGATGTGTCGTTGTTGCTCTCGGACTGACATGCTTCGCTGCAGCTGCTCCTTCATAACAGGGTCTTGGGTGACAAAGCCAGGAGACAGGCAGGCGATACCGACTTCTTGGATAGCAAGGCCGTCACGAGCTGTCATGGGTCGCGCCGAAGTTGGCTGGTTAGATTTGGGCGTATTCTTGGATAGGTCAAGTTTGCGTGGTCGAGGTCGTGTATGGGTCATGCTGGGAGAGGCAGGTTCCTTCTTGACAATAATCCTAGGGGGCGCGCCGGCTGATCGTGAACTGCAAGGGCAGGTGAGTAAGGGAGTGGCCAATTGATGGCGACGACGGAGATGGAAATGAGATGTACTTACGCGCTGGAGGGCGATGATTTGGTACCCTGGCCCGCAGCTTTAGGGCTGCTGCTGGTGGAGGATTGGGTTGTCGCATGCGATGTCGAAAGGTTGAGAGAAGACCGTTGTGCGGAGGGGGAAGTTCCAACGGTGGCAGCCGAAGTAGAGGGAGCGGGTAGTTCGGGGTTGGAGAACCTTTCGTGAGGAGCGGGAGAGGGAGCCATTGCAATTGCAGCACTCATAATGAAAAGAGTGCGAGTGCAGGGTTGTGGGAAATGGCGACAGGTGGTTCGTGTTGTAAGGAGACAGGAACGGGAACGGGACAGCTGCAAGGAGAAGCAGGAGGGAATAGGCCAGGCCAGGCCAGTCAGCGAGCCAGAGTGAGCCGAGTACCTGGGTTTTTCTGGGTCTGGGTTCGTGCGAGTTAGTTAGAGATTTCCTTTCTTGTATTGACTAGCGAGTACAGCAGAGACAAGCAAAACCGGATCGAAACGAATCGGTCGGAGACGACCGTAATTGTAAAGCGAGACAGGAATGGAAACGATCGTGAACGTGGCCGACTCGAGTCAGCACACGATTCGATTTGACTTTGTGTGAGTCTTGTCGCGGGAGTGACGGACAAGAAAGCCAGAAGAACGTCCAGAATTGATTGGAACCAGAACCACACAAAGGGAGGCCGGGCTGGGCTGGGCTGGACTGGATTTGGGCTGGGGCTGAGATGGGCTGGAAGGAATAATATTATCGATAGCTCAGCTCAGGCGACAGAGATCAGATATAGAAGCTGGTTGGTCCGTTGGTGGTGGTGGTGGTGGATGGTTCGACGACGGCTCGCTCTTCTTTTTGCCCTGCGCGCTCTGACTTGGGTCCAAGCTCAAAGCGGGCGGTTCAGCTCTGTGCGAGATGTGACAGAGCAAAGCAAGCAGTAAATGAAGCAAGATCCAATTTGCTTTCCCTTGTTCTACATGCAAAAATGGGAGGTAGAAAGAGAGAGAGATGGGGATGGGGGGTTCAGAAGGGGGAAAAGAAAGACGAGAGAAAAAAGAAAAGAAAGGAAGAAAAACCAAGATGACGAACCGAGAAGGATAGAAGAAGAGATAACCCGGTTGTTATTTCCTCTCCTCGTTGCAGTTACAGTTACAGTTGCGAGTAAATGAATAGGTAGTCGAAGGAGTAAAAGAAAAAGCCAGGGGCGTCAAAGTGGCCTCGGTCGATCGACTGGCGACTTTGTTTTATCAAATTCGGTACGGGGTGGGTTGGGATGGGTTGGGTTGGGATGTTGGCTCAAGCCCGGCAGGCCCGTGTTTCGCCTGGTTTCGCTCAACTAAGTTGGTTTTAGTTGGTTCCCAAGTTCAGTTGGTCGTTGTAGTGAGAGACGACCACCTGCACAGAATTGCTTATTCCGTCGGGTCAATTGGAGAGGTAAAGTAACGCGACCTCTTGGCGGCTGTCCTTCTGGAGGGGATGGATGTCCTTGATAACTGTGCCAGTCGAGTCTGGGACAGCGAGAGAAATCCAAATCCACCTATATCCAAATCCAAATCGACAAGAGAGGGTCTTTGTCGATATAGATAGGCTGACTGTGTGATTAGGCCTGTAAGTACTGACGGTGCGGGCAGTTCAAGCGGCTAGCCAACAACGTAAATATGCACGACCGTGGGCCAGACACAATGGATCAGCGAATGAAGAGATTCTCACAACCGACTGTAAATGTGACGAGGGAGAGGCGTTGGTGCCGGCGGTAGCAATAGTACAGGAGTGACAGCGAGCAATCACAGATAGCCGCAGTTCCGGTTGCACGTATCAATCAAAAGTCAGGTTCTCGAACGTAGATGGAGGTGGTAGAGGGATGCAATGTTGAAGAAAGATGGTGCCAAAATCTCAAATCTCTCGACAACGGCGAAGAAGGGAATAACAGCAGAGATTCACCATATCATCAATGAGGGGTCAGTTGGGAGCCTGGCGATGTTTTATTTGTTGCCATGTATTTATGAAGGGGGATACGGAGAAAAGTGACACAAAGCACGACGCCTGGTTCGTATCTTGAAGCAATGGATCCAACCCGGCGAGACGAGCCAAGGGACAGGGATGTGATCGAAAGAATAAAAAATGACTGGGGTGCGCCTGGTGTATGTACATACATACGTACATGCCTTAGCTCTGTCCAGGGGTGTGAGACTATCCAGCACCAATCCAAAACCTCAGAAAGGACGAACTACTACCAGTACCAGCCTGCCTACCTACTCATGTATCAAACGTAACAGAAAGCGGTGCAAAGGCCCCTATTCCAGAGCTTATCGGTTCGTAGAGGTCGAATCATACCGACCGACAGGACAAGAATAAGAAAATGGTAGCTATCCGAGGCCTACATACCTTCCTACCCAGATAGGACTGGAAAATTGACAGCCCGACAAACATCCTCAAGGAAACAGCACACGAGGCATGGCGAACCAGGGTCCGGGGTGGTCCTCACCTGAATCCTGCTGCTGGATGCACGCGACCCAAGCCAACGTTGGCCACTCGTTGTTGACCTCGTTGACATAAATTTTGCTCCCACCGTTGCTGGCGGTTTGATATTGATAATACTACTGGCAAACCCTTCGACGTGGTCCCAGTTGCAGATCCCTGTTCGAATTATCGGCCATGAACCTCATATGCGCACGAGTTGTGTGTAATTGTTATACTGGTCGTGATGTGCTGCTGTGATTTTCTATTCAACGAGCATGTGATGTCCTTTGCCTCCAATGTACCGGGCATGGAGTACCTAGGTATCTAGCTCCATCACGCGTCGTTCCTTATTTCCACTTGTTGATCCCAAATTCAGTTGACTGACGGCTGACTAATACTCCTTCCAGACGCTCTTTTTCTCTCTCCCTCTCTCTTTTGGGGGCTTCTATAGACCTTCGCTTGAACCCTGGTTGTTGAAGATCAAATTTGACTTGACCGCTCCTCAGCCTTGATATACCTCTTGTGTCGATCTCGGACACTGAGATAAGCACTTGGCTGTTGAGAAGCAGTACGTTGGGTTCATAACGCAGGTCTCAGATCACTGCTGAGGACAAATTCGTTGTGAGCCGTACCACCACCTGTCGTACCGTGTTTCTGGTGGCAGCTTCAGTGTCTTACTGGAACGGGGGAGTGGTGTGGATGGACCTCCAGGGATGCCTAGAATCTGAAAACCATTCCATCTCATTCCTGTAACAGCCAGTATCAGCAGCACCTTTGTCAGAAGGCTCTATTGATGCTCGCCGCTAGTGAACCCCATGGCGCTGGTACGCTAGCGGTCTCAAGGCTGCTGGTTGGTGGTTCGGGATGGGAAAGAGCCGGTCAACTGAAGAACGATGCAACTTGTTTCGTCAGCGGTCCACGAGGAAATCACTGTAGTTTTAATGTCCATGGAAGAGCAGCCAATGATAGCTTGCCCTTTGTCTGTCATCAGGAAACCAAGACCACTAAAAAGGGGTTCATTGGACGAATCTATATTGCTGATGAGAGGTTTTGACGATTCTCGTTCACCAGGAAGCGATAGGTGAGAATACCTACTTACCTTAACTACCTAGTACCATCGCAGCTACCTTGTGAAACCATCCCATCTGCTGTATGCATAGATGGATGGATGGATGAATGGATATCCACACCTTATAACCTTACAGTACCTTTGCCTTTCGGCAAGGTCAACATAACCTCACCTACCCACGGAAGTCAAAAATGCCATGCATGTACCGTAGGCAGGTGAGATCGGGGGCCTTCCTCAATGGGGCTCGAGTACATGGGTCGCCCTTGCCAGAGTTCGATTTTTCCCATGGCTAGGAGAAGGCATTCCGAGGCAGATGGAACCAACATCCTCATGTCAAAAGTCTTGGAGTGATGACTGCCTCGTGGCCACTGACATCGACCCTGGCTCTTTACTGGGAACTTCACCAAAAACACCTGGCACCTCATTAATCTTCGGTGCATCTCCCAATGAACCCACTTCCAATGATACCGTCCTGTAGTCTCCCCACCATCTCAACTCGCCCACTCTCTCTCACACACTGAAACTTGCCCCTCACTCGCCCCGGAACCCCCAAACATCCTTTGGGCCCTGACGATCCTTTGATGGATATTGTGCACCTGGATAATACAGCAAACCCCCATACCAGCTGCTATGCTAGGAACCACAGGGGCTTCTGGACAAGTTGATAGGGAAATGCCATCACTCTGAGGATGTTTGCCCGTTGATATCAACGGGACCATAGAGAGAGGTTTGGAAGTAAAGGAGTGTCCATTTGTCTTCATATGTCCTTACAATTGTTTCGGGCCCCCTCTTCTGCTCCCCCCCGCTTACCGTGCACCATGGGGCAATAGTTTCGCTTTTATAGGTAAGTCAAAATAACAAGAGGAAGTTTGCAAACGATGGGCTGATGAAAAGTACAGTAATCACCTCCAGCTGTCTCGGTGAGTAACATACTACGTATAGTCTTACTGCTTCAGCACGTTCTTTCGAAATATCATGATCTTCATTATTCACACTCCCTATTACGATTTTCCGAAATGATCTGCATACGTTCTGATATCCATCAATCATATCTGAGAAAAAAGTCATCAGTTACATACTAACAAAACTGACAATCCTTCCCCCAAGACTGAGGAACTCGAAAAGAACCCTTCGCTGTCAAAAATTCGTGACCGCAGAAGTCAATCTGGCTTGATGGATATCACAACTGGACTTAAGAGTATTTTTGAGACAAGTTGGATTTCGTAACACAACATCCAACATTTGGTCCCCTCCATATCACGTTGGTGTAAACGTTCAAGAGTCTCACTTGCATCGACAGCGCTCCATTTCCGTCTTTATGACGACAATCCTTGTACAAATTATGCCCCTGTCTTCGATCGGTTCTCTCGTCTTGATCCTGGCCAACCATTTGTGGCAGACAGACCTTTCATTTTCATCGGCTTCACAAGCACTATGTACATGCCCTTGAATAGAGAGAGAAACTCCTCACATCAGAGCTGGTCCATAATGGGACCTTGGGCTAACGAATCATGGGACTTGGATACCTTGGCTAGTTTGGTACCCTAGGTAGTAGCCTAAGAGTTCGATAGGTACAGGAAGAATAAGAAAAAAGGCCGTCGCCATTAACCTTTGCCAGAAGGGGAAAAAAGAAAGAGCGCCGCACATCTCCCGCCGCCAACGCCTCAGGTGGTTTTTGGTTGTTTTAGCCAGAAAGTAGCTAGCCACGGAGGCTTTTGACCCATCCTC